ATGAGGATATGTGTCCACAACGATCCAGGAGGGCTAGAGCAAAACAATATGAGTTGGAGCCAAGCATTACATATGAGTACCACCAAGATAGGCAGACTCTCTCTGATTACATGATTCGTCATAATAGAGTTCGATCTCCACATGTGCATCAGAGTCTCCGAAATGATTTGATCAATCACCTTTGGAGGAGCTTTGGAGATGGTGAATGAGGTCGACAATTGTTTCATTCCTCATTTTGTGTTTCAATTATGTTGTGTGTTTTTGTTTATGTTGTGTTTTTTTTTATGTTGTGTGTTTACTTTTGGAATAAAATGAAATTTATGGAATTTCAATTTTTTTAGGTCAAATTGTTCAAAAAATTAAATTATGATGTTATTTAAAAAGATTAAAGGAAGAAAAGTTATCCATAAAAAAAAAAATAGACTTAAACCGCATCTTAAACAATTTAATAAAGTTGCGGACTTAAAATTTGAGTCCGTAGAATTGGAAGAAAAAACAATTTGAGTCCGGGCAAAACCCAAATAGTCACTTTTAGGTGAGGGAAAATTTGAGTTTACCCTCTCATGGGTTGGAGAAGGCCTTAGTTTTCACTTATCTCTACAGTCTAAAAACAGAACAGGGCATTGTACGCAAGACACGTCGGTAGTATAATTGGGCACTTCGCTGCTTTCACCAGAACAGAAAGCTCCAAAGTACCCATGGCTTCAGTCATGGCTTCTCATGCTATCCTCTTCCAAACCTCAAACCCAATCAGACCCAAACCCAAGCTTAAACCTTTCTGCACCCCCACTCTCAAATTCAGCCCCAACCCTAACCTTAACCCCAACAAAATTCCAAGATTCTCCCTCAGACCCCTCTGCGCCTCTCTCACCACAAACCCCCAAACCCTAAATACCCAAATCCCATCTCAGTCTCCACCACCCCTAGCCCATCTCCCTACTCGGACACTCACCACCCTCTTCGCCCTAACCCTAGCCGTCGTCCGCAACCTCTCAATTTCACTATTGAAATTCGGATCCCAATTCGGACCCTCCATCGGTTCCGCCGCCGGACCCCTCTTTTTCGCGGCGCTCGGAGACCGCCCGAGCGGCTACTTGAACACGCCGTTGACGGTGGTTGCCGCCGGACTCTCTAAATGGCTCGATATCTACAGTGGGGTTTTGATGGTTAGGGTTTTGCTCAGTTGGTTCCCCAATATTCCTTGGGACCGCCAACCCCTTTCGGCGATTCGGGACCTCTGTGATCCCTATTTGAATCTCTTTCGCAACATAATCCCGCCGATTTTCGATACCTTGGATGTTAGTCCGCTCTTGGCTTTCGCAGTTTTGGGCACGCTGGGGTCGATTCTCAACAACAGTAGAGGAATGTATTGATTGAGCAAGAAAAATTGGCGGATTTGGGTTGGGAAGCAATTGGGTAAGGAAAGTTATCGGTTGTTTAGCTTAAGTTCATATTTTTTGTGGATTATTCATAATGTGTTTCGGTTATAACACTGTGATAAGTTTAAATTCAGTATGAATATATAAATTTTGACATATTTTATGGATGACATTTTCAATTTTCGTTTCATATCTGTTGTTGCAGTATTGTGGTGCTAAGCATTGTTGATTTGTCAGAATTTTGCATGTAATCTTGTTAGTGATATGCAAAGTTGTTGGGAAACTCTGGATACGTGATTACGAAACGTGGGATTAGAAAGAAATTACAAAACTTAGCACTTTGTTGTTTACATTCTAGAATGGTGATAAATTTTGATAAAGCAATAAAATCTGTGACAACAATTTATCAGTTTTCGCATGGTTAAAGAAAAAAAATGAAGAAGGGTGAAACCATACTTTAGTCACAGATAGATTTGAGCGGCTCAGTTGGTTTATTAGGTCACATCTTGTTATTAATCTGTGATTAAGTCCAACGTGGAACATACTGCTGGCAGGACGTTTCTACTTGGAAGTCGTGAATAACCAGCGTCCACCAGAATATGCTCATGGCTTTACAATGTTTTGCAGAAGAGATATCATTTCCATGCTACTTTCACATTGATTTTGGACAATTTTAAACGGAAAGAATTGATGTGTTATAGCTTTAGGTACTGACATCACGAAGCCTTTGCTAGGGAGGGAATCTATGTTATCTTCAGACAACCCTATAGAGATTCAAATTTCCATTGACAAAACACAGGTTTCCGAAGGAGCCACTAGATGACTAAGAAATTTGATATTTTAGTTTGCTGTTTTACTTAGTATTACGTACTTCTGAACCATGCGGATATGCATCTTCTTATACCAGTTATGCGCACAGGTTGATGAAGAAAAGGGCGTATGTGGGAAGTCTATTTTGATTATTCTTTTCCAGAAATGGAGATCTCTTTCAAAGAGTTGATTACATTTCTCTGTGTTGTGTCAAAATGTATGTTTGAAGGGTTCCTCTATGATAGTTTGCCTGTTCAAATTATCATCTATCTATATTCATGCAGAAGATTTGCTTTGGTGGAGATATATTATACTCCATTGCATAAACCTTTTTTTCTTCTCCACTCCGTTTTCATAGATAGTCTCATTAAAATTCGGGAAAGCTATCCATTTTGTACTTAATACCATGTTTGTTCGTTGGGTTTTCTGCATCAATAATCAGATAAGTTCATGTTTGAGTGCAGAAGCATGATATGGATTGTACCACAACCTTCTAAGTTCTAACTGAGAATGTGGCACAAAGTTTGAATCTTTGATCAAGTTGAGTTACTTGATTGCTGATGCCATTTGCTTTTGTGGGGAATTCTATCTACCCCTGCAGTTTTTGAGTGAATGAATGAACAACATCTACCCTTTTGACTGTGACTAGCTTCATTTTTTGATGTAAGAAAGCATTGAAGGAGTACTAAAAAAATTTATTATATTGGAAACAACTCATTTTATTTGGCATACCAAAAATATATATAAGAAAATCTTCTTTCCAATTCATTCCGAGTCATTTGCTCTCTGTTGTTTCTCAAATATATATTAGGGTACCCTATATATCAGTCCTGCTCACCGAAGGACCTAAAAATGAGGTCATGTGAGCATTTACTTAGTAAAAGGTATTCTAATGGCACATGTTGTTAGTAATTTAAACCCTCATCGTATCCCCTTGTTTTACGCCAACAACTCCTTTTTAACCATTCTAACCCACAAAAGAAAAAAAAAAAAAAAAAATTAGGGATGCACTTTCGTCCCTCTTCCTCCTCTGTAGCCGTCTTTTCCCCCCTCCCCTCTCCCCTCTTTCACCATCGCTCTTTCCTCCATGAACAGAGGATATTCAATTCCCTTTGCCAACTAAAAAACACACACAAGAAATAAATATCAGAAGAATTGTTTTTGTTAGGGTGAAGAGAATAAGCTCATCTTTTTTATTTTATTTTTCAAAAATACATGAGCTTATCTTGATTCTTAGTTATTTTTATTTCTGGGGTTTTCCTATGCAAACACATAGTGGAAATTTAAATTGTGAATTACCTACACAAAGGCACTGGAGAGGTTTCTTTTTTTCTTTTGGGGTTGAACGGATGCCGTCATTGATAAGCCTTAGTCGAATGGATTTTTTGGTCGAGAGGTTTCTTATGACTCTATCAAGGTCACAATGATAAGCCTTAGTCCAACAAGAATAATATGCTTTATTTTTCAATCTCTATTCATGGAGACTGGGAAAGAGCGATGGCGAAAGGGGCGGAGAGGGAAAAAGATGGATGGAGAGAAGGAAGACGGGGATGAACGTGTATCCCTAATTTTTTATTTTTTATTATTAATATTCTTTAGGTTAGAATTGTTAAAGAGTTGTTTGAGTAAAACAAGGAGTATGCGTGAGAATTTAAAATACTAACAACATGTACAGATTAATTCAAGGACTTTTATTAAATAGGTGCTCACAGCATCTCATTTTTAGATCTTTAGGTAAGCGTATTGCCCAATATTACTTCTTTTAGAAGGCAGCCTCTGTCGTAAGCCTAATGATTAAGAAACATCTTTAGCAGGAAAATAATGAAATCAATCAAATTGGGACCCAGTTGAACACCTGAGAAACAGCTGCAAAAAGGCAAACCAGAATGAAAATGCCGAACCCCAACAAACAAAAGCAGGCTTAATAAAAAACCAAGCCCGATGATTGGCAATGAACAGCTGAAGCAGGGTAAATGCAGACAAACAATCACAGTAACAAAAAGAAACCAAAATCACTAGGCCACCCTAGAACAAGGGAGGCATCACTGATAGAATTCTATATAGTGAAGGCCCCTATTACTTAGTCGATGGATCAAATTAGTTAGTTTGATCCAATGATTAAGAGATAGGCCCTCCATTAAGGGCGTTAAGGCCCTCACTATAAAATGACCATGCATCACTGCAGACCAACCAGAAGGGTTAAGAAGAGCAAATTTAAACCAACATACAAGGCAATCACCCCAGAAGACAACAGCCTCAGCCATCAGCAGCAATATTACATTACTGAGTGATAGGAAGGCTAACCAAGTTTGTGGTGATCATGTGGAAATATTTGCCTTGTCAAGCTCATTCTTCTTTTCTTTTACTAGCAAATACTCCAAAATGATTCTCAGCAGTTTTTTACTTTTTACCTTTTGGAAGCCATCTGGAATGAAGGCCCCTTTAAGTATATTGGAGTGACTGAAACACCAGTTTGTGCAATAATATTTATGAGAATATAAAGCTCTAAATCTGTCTGTGGTTATATGTTTGTGTTGGTTGGATCTCTCTCTCTCTCTCTCTCTCTCTCTCTCTCTCTCTCTCTCTCCAGAAATTCTTGTTCAATCATGTAATCCAGCTCTGCGGAGGACTAATTTTATGCAATTAAAAATAAAATAATGTGTTTATAATATTCCGTTATCCCATTTTCAAGCATTGACGTTTACTTTGCAGCTGAACTCCAATTGCTGCATACAAATTGAACACTTCTTAATCTGTCTGGATTTGTCTGATCCCTTAGCTTTCACGCATCAAACTTGTTGATATGACATGATTGGAGAAGGGCCGGATCTCAAATACAATTTATTGGTAAATGGAATACTGTGTGCCAAATTTTGTCAAGGAGGTGGATTGTTTCAATTTTAGCTGTTAGGCTGTCACTGCAAAGTGGTATCCCAGGATTAACAGATTTAGATATGCGGTGGACCAATCAAGTAGCATCCGAGATGTTGAAATAACTTGTTGGTTAAACTGTAATTACGCTTGTTCTTGATTCTTCTCCCATTTTCCCACTTAGACATTTGTGTACATCTCGGTGAAATCGAACTCTTGTCATGAATATGAAGGAAAGAAAACAACAAAACTAGATAATTATCTCTGGAAATTATTGAAAACAAAAACAAGGAAATATAATGACACCATGGTCACCAATCACTTTGGGATGCATAAGCAACAATACGTAGTTGAATCTACCTTTATCTTAAAAAAAGAAGAAGAATATGATCTTCCAACAGTTGTTTATCAACCCTTTTGGACGAATCTGAATAATTTACTTATTGTGGTGGGATTTGAGTTTTGTTTTTCTCATCTTTTAATACTTTTGAAACAATTTAGCATAAAGAGTCTATATAGATTAGTCATCACGCTCTTCAAAATATCCAGTGATCTCATTGTTTGCCAGATGCATCATGCTATACAGAGAGAGAGAAAGAGAGAGAGAGAGAGAGAAGGGTAGAGCACATTATAATACTTTGAATAAGTATTTTTATTATGCATGGTGGATCAACTTTTTGAAAGTTGAATGATAATGTTATAATTTATTTGCCAACTGATAGAGATATTGCACCCCATGCACATTGGATGAGAATAAATTGCAGCAGTCTAATTAAAAATTTATTGAATTTAAAACAATTAAATCTCTTTCAAGTAAGATATTTTTAACATTTACCCATTTCATTAATTCAAGAGACCATTCTCCAAAAAAATAAAAAACCATAAAAAATATACAAATTTATAAATAAACCCAATCCTAGACATGTATTTATAAAAAAACCCAAGCACTATTTAAACATAGAAACACACCCAAAATTAACCATAAAGTCAACTTTTTGGGTGTGTTTATAAATGGGTTTTGAGTGTGTGTAATGATGGGTTTTGGGTGTGTTTATATGTTTAAATAGTGCTTGGGTTTTTTTATAATTTCAACCCCCATTTTGGGTGTTTTAGTGAAACTCCCTAAAAAATATCGTAAGACCACATAAAAAAATGATAAAAATGTTAAATTTCAAAGAGACGAGTCATTAGCTCACTACTAACAACACGATATTGTCCCCAAGTTAACCACCTATAAAGCTGAGTAAGTGTGAGGTTTAATTACAAAAAGCCTCGGTGATATTAGTAGTAGAACCATTTATTATATTTTATATTTTATTTAATCAAATTTCCTATGCAGGACTCATATTCCTCAACAAAAAATATGGGATGAGTCAAATAAATTTTGAACCTTTTATCCTCCCAAATGACATTTGGTGTGTTATAACACCATTGGCCTAAAAATGGTCAAGAGGCCATTAATTTGAAAATTACAATGTTGAATATTTTTGGAGACGTGTGAAGTTGAACGATAATTTTTGTTGTTGTAAAAAATAAAGAAAATTGAGAATGAAGGGTTTTAATTTTATTATGGTGAAATGAAACTCTCATGCTAATGATGATGATGATCATGATGATCATAATTTTTATAAAACAAAAAATTGACTTGTAAACCAACTCTCTTAGTTCTCACCTTCTACAATCTCATACCCCACACACACTGCCTAACCCAACTCATGTTTTTTTTGTGTGTGTGGCTTTTTTTGATGATACATGCCATTTTACAGTATTTACCAATCACAGACATCGATATCAGGTAAGTTCAATTTTCAGATCCACCTCCATGGGAGCTGAAAAAAGTTTATAAAAAAAAATAAAGAAGAAAAGAAAGACACTTCATGGAACTTCTAAGAGTATTCACAATGATGCTCTTTATTTCTTAGCTAAAATTTGGCTAAGAATATAAGAAAGCTATTTTAAGAGCTCTCTAGAATTTTTTTAACTCCAACCATACTCCCTAATTTGGAGAGTCATAAATACTATAACTCTTTTTTGATTGATCCATCTCTATTAAAAAATAAAATAAAAAATAGTTAACATTAAATATAGGTTTGAAATACTCATTAAATAAAACAGCATTAAATTATAGGGAGCTACTAGGAGTCCTTTCTCTCTCATCAGATTTAGGTACTCCTAGAGGACTCCCTATTTTAGGAGGTGGATATGAAGCGTGGTTGGAGTTGCATTTTTACGATTCCTCCCTAAAATTTGTTTAAGGAAGTGGTTTATGGAGCCCATTGTGGATGCTCTAAGTAATTAGTAAATTCCATCTCTTGTAAGATGTACTAGTCAAGGAAATCACTCAAACTGTGGAATGTTA